AGCTAGCTCGGAGGAGGATGATGCCGATGACGAAGGTGCTAAGCGAGGTATGAAGAAGTTGCGCAAAAATCCGCCGGCAGCCGAAGGACACGCTCTGGTAGCCCCTAAGCTTGCCAGCCAACTATCCCCTACCAAGAAGATGCCTAGCTCCGTGCCCCAGACACCTCAGAAGAAGAAGACTGGCCTCACCTTGAGCCGACTGCAGATGCTTTCTCAACCTAAGATTCGCAAGTAGTGGCTCATACCTCATACAAGGCCACATTATGAATACCTAGTTCAGGACTGAGGTTCTGCGTTTATGGTATACGACTTTCACGTTTTCATGCAGTCATGATGTTGGCTACGACTTTATCGTCTGCTCTCGGGAGAGTAGATTGCACATTTGTTTCAGAATAAGTTTGATGGGGCCTTGTTCTCATGGGAAATCTTGCGGCTTGATGGGAGAGGTTCCAACCTATCTGAGGCGGACCCTCGGGGGCTTCGGTAACCAACAGGATCACCTCGTTGTTCACCTATGTCCATGGTGAGAAGGGACATGTTTCGTGTGGAGGGCATGGCTCTGTATGAATAAAAAAAAAACTGACTTGTTTCACGATTACGGGGCTAGGGCGTGGGCGGCCGGTATGGAGGCATTTGTTTGTATGGTACGGGGCGTTTAATGGCATACTGAGACGAAAGATGAATGCGAGCTCTTAGCTCAGTAATCTCGTCTGGACTGGGACTAGGGTATTAACGGTCCTGTGTATTACTATGAATTCTGCACTCGGCAGCAATCTACGATTGTTCAATTCACATGACCTAACTTGACTTGTATTATGTGTTCTTGTGTTCATGATCTTGCAGTTGAAGTGTCTTGGTTTGGTCTTGATCAGTACGACTTAACCTAAATGAAGGGAGAGCTTTTCTAGATGAAAGCCTATCAAGAGGTCTCTCTATCTACCTACCTAGGTAGGTCGAACGGTTGTTCGTCTAGTTTCATGTTGTAAGAGGTTAGCCTATGTATTTGTTTATGACCGTTCCTTCATAGTTGCTTCATTTTCACACCTCGGTTTATAGAAATCCACAAGACCTGATACAAGCAAGTCGCGGAGGAAATACTTACGGTTAGGGAAGAGCAGACTGGTACTTGAACGACGGATCCTACTTGCCTAGATACATTCCGGAGAGGGATGTAGTATGGATGTAGTATAAGTGAGCACACGTCACCTCACTAGTATCTTAGAAGGTAGGATGGCGTATCTCCTTTCCTTCACCATCTACTCATATACCTACGTCCTGTCTCTCCAAAGTCCATTACCAGTCTTTCTCCTCGCCGTTCCAAATCCTGAATTACCTACTACTCTTCTTACCATCCTACCTAGGTACCTACCGTAGGTACTCAGCTACCTACGACCGACCTTTATTTACTATTCACATCCATTTAGTCACACACACACACAAGCATCCCAATTTATACAGGATGTCACCGCTCCCACAACAGCAGCCCTTCACATGCACGTTCTGCTGGCACGTCGTCCCCCACAAGGGCGGCGGCCCGTCCGTCCTCGGGCCCTCGGCCCGCCTGGCGTGCGACGCGTGCGCGCGCGCGATCGTGGACCTCGCCATCTGCTGGGTGTGCGGCGAGCTCGTGTTCCACGCCGAGGAGTGCGTTAGCCTGGGCTAGTGCTTCTGGCACCGCGCGTGCTACGGGTGCCTGTTCTGCGGGTGTCGGCGGGTTATTTCGGCGCCCGGGGTCAGGGAGATGTTTAACGGGGATGAGGAGGAGGAGGGTAGGCAGGGTGCGGGAAGGGGAATGGGCAGGCAGATTCTGGACATCCCGATGTGCGTTGACTGTGTGGTTGAGTGTGAGGAGGATGATGATGGGGATGGGTTGTTGAAGAAGGCGTTGGATAGGATTGATGGGACGGATGGAGGGCTGAGCAGACGGCGATGGATGGCGCTCAAGAACAGCTTCGCGCCCCCGGTGACGACGACGACGACGACGCGGCTGAGCCAGCTCGGGGGTGATAGTTCCATGGACATGCCCGCGTCACCCGATGGCATACCCCCTCTCGTCACCTTCCCCATCACCAACACTTCCAACGTACGGCCACCCTCACCCTCACCCTCACCCTCACCGGCAAGCAGAGACGGCATCGAAACACCAACCCTCGCCAAACTGCACTACCGCCGCGCCCAAAACCCCCGCTTCGCCGAGCTCGAATGCACCGTGCCCCTCGACTCCGCCATCTACGTCTCCATCCGCGACCCCCTGAACGCCCCCGCCTTCAAACCCTGTCCCGCGAAGCCCGTGCCCGAGTGGATGCGCCTGCTGCCCGGGCGCGACTGCCCGGGCGAGGCGAGGCCGAGGTCCGTCCTCGACGCGCACTTCCCGCCTGCGAGCGCGTTTGCGAGGACGGAGGCGCGGGAGAAGCCCGAGAAGGGAGAAATACGGGGGCGCACGCGGCCGGAGACGGAGGTGCTTTGTCCGCGGTTTACGACGTCGGTTAGGCCGTTTGTTGTATCGCCGCCGTCGGAAATTTCGGCGCCGCTGCGCCAGCGCGGTCTGCCAAGGCAGCAGCGGACGTCGTCTGCGTCGCTGGGCGAGCGATTCCGAGGCAGCGTGGGGAGCTCGGGCAGTCGAAGCCGCTCCGCGTCCCCCGTGGCGGACTTCCGGTTTCCGTCCCCGCCGGTGCTGTATAAGCGGCCCTCGGTCGTGGCTGATGAGCCGCTACGACGGCCTTCGTCTAGGCTTATGGGTTTACGGGAGGATGTGGAAGATGAGTACGCCGATGGCCATGGTACTGCTAGTGCTAGTGCTGGCGCTGGTGCTAGGGATCAAGACGCGAATGCAAAATTGAGAATTCACACGACCGCGAGTGGAAAGATGTCAGAAGGGAAAGGGAAGAGTGTTGCTTGGGACAAGACCGTCGCTGGTGGCGAGAGCACGAGCGAAAGTAGAAGCAGAAGTGGAAGTGAGAGCAGCTGCGAGAGCTACGAACGCAAACCGAGGGAGAGAGGGGATGTCGGGTTACGTAGAGACACGACGCCGCCCGGACGCCGCGCCTCGCCGCTCGCAGCCGTCTGGCAGCGCGTCGTGAAGGCGAAGACGAAGACTCCCCCAGCGCAATCCAACGAGTTCATCGACTTATATGCTGCTGGCAAGACTGGGGAGACAGCGCGGCTGGAGAGTCTTGCGGTACCGGGACGTAGGCGGGGGAGGGAGATTGGGAAGGGGGGGAGAGTTTGTTCCAAGTGTGGGAATTGGTCGGATGGGTGATAAATTGTGGTGGTTTTTTAGGGGGTTTAAAGAGGTGTGTTAAGTCATGGATACCAGGTAGTTTATGGGTATTGCTATCAGACAGAATGATTACTTGAATGACTTGAATATACCTTATTATGAAGGTATATTAGCTATGTACTCATGCTATTCCTGGTGGCGCCTCGGCTGGTGTAAACATATAACACTTCTTATACACTTATCTATCCTCTCCTGGCGTATACATGTTACCCTCAAAAGACATCATCCATAAGCCCTTACTGCCCAACCGTGCCATTTCGTACCGGTACGATAACGCTATGAAAACCTGTAACCTTTCCTAAGAGCCTTCTACTCTCGTTGCCACATGCCTAGGATAAACACAATACCGCGATAGAACCCAAGATAACGAGCTAGCGGAACCTAGTTTTTGATCTTCCGATTCGTGGTTGCTGTACCGCTTCGCTGTGTGTAGAGCATGTACCCGAATACAGCAGCCGCGACGGTCCCGAGGATGAAGAAGTTGTCTAGATGTAGGGCATAGAAGTCAGCTGATTGCGCGAGTAAGCATATTCTTAAGTCGCCGAGTAGAGTATTCAACATCACTAACAATGACTACTACACCGTGAAGAAATTCCAGAGAGTCATGGTGAAAAGAGTGAGGTGGAGGGGAAGGGAAACTCACGAATCGCAAAGCCTAGCGTGCCCTCGACGAAGTTCACGAACCCTGTAAACACGCCCATGATGGTGCTGAATACGAGCTGGAACATGGACAGGATGGCGGCGAATATGCCGTAGATCGTCTCCCCGATCGATTCGAAGAAGTGCGCGATTCCGGATGCTATGCCCATTTTTGCTGTGAGGTTTCCGTGTCCTTGGTTGCTGGTTGTTGGGTTTGGGGTTGAGGAGGTTCGGGTAGTTGTGGTGTTCTTCAGAGCTTTCGGTAGGATATTGGGAGATTTATTTATCTAGATAGCTATCTTATACGTATCTGAGGAGGTAGACGAAATGAGCAAAAAAATAACGGAGCATGTATGTCCCTCAGGATATCTATAAGAAGGAGAATCTGCATATATGTCTTATTATCTCATACCTAGGCGCCACACTACATCTCAATGGCTAATACGGCGTGGCATACGTCAGTCTCAGACCTAAACAAGGCAGCACAAAATGGTGGTCTGTCATGGGACAATAGCTTTAGGCTTCTAGGGCTATCTAGGAGTAAATAGCCCGGCCGGACAAAGAGTATGTTGCACGAGGTGTTGTTGTTCTAGATGGTGATGTCATCACTCATCCTTTATAAGTGATAAAAGCACATGCATTGGCTCTGGTTTTTGGGGACGTAATGAGCGTAGACTGACTGTAATTTTAACAACTACTGAATAGGGCAACCATGCATAAATGCTGAGCTTCTCATTGGCTGAGTCTTGACTGTGTGATAGTAGCTAAGCAATGCAGATTCTGGCCTATCTAGATAGATTTCTGATCATCTCAAGGCTGTTAGGGCTTTCAAGTAGGAACGGGCTCTCCCTTTGCTAAATTATATCGTCAATATTTTTACATCCCGTTTTCAATATGGCTCAATTTATTAACGGAACCTTATATAGTCTTCCATTTTACACGGTCCTTATAGAGTTGGCGAGGGTTAGGTGAGACAAGAATACGCCTACTACCTATGAGAACAGCGCAGATAGTAAAAAGCAAATAAATAGGTAAACAGGGATACACAACCCGAGAAAACGAAAAACCTTGTAAATGATCACGATCCCGGCCGGACTCGAACCGACAATCTCTAGAGAATCAGATATCATCTACCCAGCTTGGGGTAGGTATCACCGAAATCTAGCGCCCTAGCCATTAGGCCACGGAACCCGCTGTGAGATTCCATTCGTTGCGTCGTGTTGAATCCACGGTCACGGTTTGTGTCGTTGCTTGGACTTAGAGTTGCAGAACTTGAGGATAGATGTGATTTCATTGCGTGTAGTCGAGAAGACTACCTAAGAAGGGTGAGGATTGGTGTATACGTTGTTGCGGATATGTAATTGCTATGTTGCCACGCATGTGGGCTGGTACGGCTTTGGTCGGGTTCTAGTTTTCTCCCTTGTCAATGTTTTGGCTGTGTATATAGGGACAATGTCGCGTATATATACCGCTAATACGGCAGGAGTATGAACGGCGTCGTTTTTCCTCCGTCACAGACAAGTATTAACACGCCAAGTAACTGAGATCCCTAAAATGCCCCCCATCGAAGCGAAGCGGAATTTCAAAAAGTTTTCCTCATCATAGATAAGCCTTTACCTCTGATTCCAACTTGAGCTGAAACTTGTCGTTGTTCTCCTGATATCCTTAATCAAAGAACGTACTGTAAAAACTAGGTATGTTCTGCATAACAAGTAACAGAAGCTGTTGCTCCGTCTACTTTATACAACTCAAGCATATACTGATGAAATCATAAAAATGAAAAATCGTAATACTTCATCAAGAATATCGATTTTCGCAGTTTTAGGTGTTACGTAACGTAGCTAAGAGAATTTGCGAGGGGAGACTAAGACTGTATGCAGAAATCCGAAGAAAGGAGAAGTCTAATTCCCAACCTTCTGACGTCCCGAGCATCGACCTCTCATTTCTACGTTTTTGTCTTTCCTGAATCCTCCCTCATAAAACCATTCAGAATCATCAAGGCATTTTGGGAGTGGGGGAGAAACAAGAGAAGGAAATAGGGCAAACGAATAACAACGACCTGACAGAGTGGTATTATATGAGCTGAAACATAACGTATTTTGTGCAAAACGCCACCCAATGCTCGCGTCCCTCATTTCAACCATCGTTCAACGTAAGCAGATTTTCATGCCACCGTTGCCTGGGGATGCGCGTCAAGATCTACGTCGGCGACGAGAGCGCGTTGGTGGGCGCTGTTGCGGACGAGATTGCTGAAGTACTTGAAGGCCACCTCGCTTTCTGTGCGTGTTTTCATGGTCTCGTCTCTGCGTGAGCCGAGTTGTTCGACCGACCGGGTCAGGCCGACGCGGAGGTTATCGGCGGGAAAACGTAGGACCTTGCGCACCGAGCTAGCTATACGTGTACTATTGGCGTGCACATAGTCCATGGATTCTAGCTGTGCAGAGAGCTTGGCCGATAGGCGGTGGGGTAGCGACTGTGGGACTTGTTGCAAAACATAGGCCGCGGCCGACACGACTGTAAGATGCATAATGAGCGAGGGCAACATAACTATTTCTGGCATGTGGTACTTACCTGCAAGAACAATTGTCGGTACAATCAGTTTCCTGAGGTTATCGTTTCCAACGATCTTAGCAGCGCTCATTGCATGGTCTACCCAGCTAGACCCGCCAACTAAGCGTCCGCCTATAGCCGTTGCTAAAGTCAAAGCCATACCAGTACCGGCCACCTTCTCCTGGCGTTGCATGAGAGTCGACCAATCGACAAGATCCCAAATCTCGGTGGGCAGGTCGATCTCCTTAGCCAGGGCATCTCGTCGCCTTCGGAACATGACATCGGATCGGAAGCTCAGGTCGTGGTATTCGTTACCAAGATGAAGGATGCCAAGTTGCTTGATCGCATTGACTCCGCCGACCGTCCTAGAACGAGCATGGTCTTCACAATTTGTGACGGCTGTAGAGATCTCATGAAGCATTGCTTCCTTGAGGTCGTCGGCAAAATCGAACACGCCGAACAACCCTGGATACGGCACACCTAGAGTGGTGTCGCCAGCATGCACGATGGCTGAGTTGAGCGTGTTTCTTGCGTGCTCGTAAATATCCCTGCAGGTTGTCTCGATGGTTTGATCAATTTGATCGCCTACTTCTGCCTTCGCCTTCTTAGAAGATTCCAGCTGCGGCTCGATGTCTTCCAGATCCTTTGTCACGCGATCTATCTCGGACTGCGCTACCTCTGCATTGACGGTGGCAAGAACATGAACATCATTAAGGATGTTCATGAGATAAGTCTTGGCAGGCGTGAGCTTGGACCGTGCTCGCTTCTCCAGAACGAAACGTCTCAAAGACTGTTCTAGTGCCTGGAAGTCTTCTAGTTTCTCCTTTTCCTTTCCTTTGCCTTTGGGATCATCGCTCGGCTCGTCGCCGCCACCTCCACTAGAGCTACCACTGCCACCTCCGCCAGGACCGCCTGGGGATGGGTGGCCCATTGGAATGGCATTACTTGACACGAAGTGGACTAATTCTGAGGATTCCTTGTATGTTCGAGGACTCAGGCCATAGACTTGGTCAAGGATCAACTTCTCGCATCGCGCTTTGTCACGAATCATATCAAAACCGTTCACAACCATGAAGATGTAGGCCTTCTCGGCTGCTGCGGCCCATATGAACTCCTTGGCCGACTGCGTGAAGTGATTAGCGGCAGAGACGACGAAGACAACTACGTCAATCTCTTCCTGTCGAGCAAATATAGCAGTCGTCTTGGTGGTGTCTGAGTTAAGGCCGGGAGCATCAATCAGGGCAATGTCCACAACACCATTGTTGAGCAAAGATTCGTCCACGGAACGAATATCCTTGACGTAAACCTTGCACTGCATGTAGGTTGAGTTGTCAAGTACAATCTGTTCAAGTTTGGAGAGAGGGAACACATCGTAGGTCGATTCGTCATGTCGGTTATAGGCGCTGTCCATGTGTACTGCATGGACCTCCTCCAGGCCTCCATTTTCCCGTGCATCCAAAACCTCGCAGAAGATACTCGTGCAAGGCTGTTGATCTTCGGGTAGCACCTTGCGTCGTAGCAGGGCATTGCAGAAGGTGGATTTGCCGGCGTTCAAGTCTCCGGTGACCAAAACCTTGCTGGAAGTGTCGTCAATTCGTTCTCGTAGCGATAGTAGGTGCTTTATGCTCGTGCGTATCTTGCCATCCAACAAGGCCGCAACTGAGCCTTTTTCTAGCGAGTGAACGAGCTCGGACTGGTTCAGGGCCCCAAGCTTTAGGTCGAGCTTGAGAATGGAGAACTCCTGTGCAATCTGCGGCGTTATTAGGCGAGGGTCTTCGGCGGCAGATTTGTTTTCAGCATCCTTGCTGGACTCGGCAGAATCGTTGTCGGGGACAGTGGTCATGGACCGGCGCGGGGGTCGCGGCGGGTGTGCGGGCTCGGCAATGGCAGAGAATGCGCGGTGTAAGCCAGGGCCTGGGGCAGATCGCTCGGGTGCGGGTGCGTCAGTGCGCTGGACGGAAGGGTAGAGAGCAGGCCAGGTGGCATTCGTCTCCTGAAGACCCTGGAGAAGATCAACGACTCTGTTGATGGCACGGCCTAGAGCGACTCGCTGTTGATTGTACCATAGTTGCGAAATGGCAGCAACCTGGTTTCGCTGGTCGGTCTCGGGATTGCCGGATTGGCGTGTCATTATGGAGTCTCCGTTGAGGCTTGGATCAGTTCGCGGAGAGCCGAGGGGCAGCTTGGATGAGCCGGGTTCGTCGCCGGCAATGCTTCCACCGTATCCGGAGTCACGATCGAGCATGGATTGCAGTCTTGCGGCATGGTGTGAGGTTGAGCCACTGCCGACGGTGACATATGCAGGTCGCCCAGCCACGGCCCCATCTGCTGCTCCTGCCCCAGGGGTGGTAGGTTCGCGGAATGGATTGTTTGTTGCGTCGTCGCCGTTGTTTCTCACCGCTCGGGCAGGCGATTTGCCCTTGGGCATCGGTGGGAAGTAGTCTTGGCTCATGGCAATGACGACAATCGATAGAGGTCGGGATCCATGAAAGGTGTCGAAAAGCCGGCGCCGTAGGGTAGGGACGTAAACCGGAGGATAGCGTGATTTACGGTGGTTGTCGTAGGTGTCGTTGTTGAGAGTGTTGGAGGTGATGGAGGAGGGTGGTGCGAGAAAAATACGACGGTGACATGATAGGTATTTTGGTGGCATCGAACCCGCCTGAGCGACAAGATTACCTATTCTGTACTGCTGGGACCAGCATTCATTGATTGGCTATGTCATTACCTACGTGTACACTGTACAGCTGTTAGGTATCGTGCCCAATAATTGGCAACTATGAAGCGGGGTTCGATGAACTATTAGGGGACCCATAATACAGTGCGCAGTCTCCAAACTTTACTCTAAGGTAGACTAGTCTAGTCTACATATGGGTGGTAGGTGGCGATTAGGTAAGAAAATACCTATGTAGGTACCTACCTACCTTAGGTACAGAAAGGTACCTAGTAGGCAAGACAAGCACATGCTCCTGACGTCGTTTAGTTCGCCTTGGAACTCTCTCTATCTTATCTTCCTCCTTGTAACCGCCGCGCAACCTTACTAGCTAACTACCTCCCTAAGGTACCTGAAAGACACATCAACAAGACGAGACTCAATCTAGGCTGCCACATTCTGGAACGCCTACTTCAAAGTTATCATACATTATACAACAGGTCATCCTCTCGTGTCTTGTTAGACCAGACGACCCGATTGAACTAGTTTGTGACGGAAGCAATAATGAATGTGAGGATAAATTCGCCTAACAACTAGAAAACAATAGCAATAGCTCGAACGGCTGACAGTGACTGGTATGGCAGATCTTGGAATGGGCCTTCGGTAAACGCATGACGCCAGCAGAGCGTCTGCGCAAAAACCAACGCCTCCTCGATAAAGCAATACGCGAGATCGACCAGCAGAAGGTCAAGTTGGAGAGACAGGAGAAGCAGCTCGTGACTCAGATCAAACAGAGCGCCCAAAAGGGACAGATGGGAGCAGCCAAGATACAAGCCAAAGACTTGGTGCGGACGAGAAGGTTAGCAGCACGACTATGCCACGCTCAATACAAGATTATAGGAATTCCCGGACTGACCAACTGCTCTTCGTGCTATAGATACATCGAGAAGTTCTATGGACTCAAGAGTAACTTACAAAAGATATCCCTGCG